GGAAATTTCCGACTCGTAGCTGATCATGGTCGTGAGCTATTAATTAATTATTATTAATGGCATTTTCATTAATTAACTCATATCTCCGTCAAAAAGGCGCATGGGCTCAAACCAGCTTGGAGTTTTTCACTGCTGACTATTCCCTATGAATATAATGATAAAAATAGTCTGAGTCGAAAAGCTTTTAATCACCTCGAGAGGTTCCCTCGTCAGTCTAGTCCATACGGAGCTCTGGTAGCTAATCTAACCGATCCAAGTTACCCTGCTAGTCCAGCAAAATAGAGAGATGTATAGTGAACTACTGAATTTTAGATGTTAAAATCCATACTCTCCAATAGACAACCAGAGTCTAGAGGACAGTAGTTAGGAAACGTAGTCTTCATCTAACATCTGTATCCGTACACGTCTACTCTTTTTCTTCCCAAATATAGAGGAAGGAGTGTCACCAAATAATATTACAATACTAATAAACTCACCCAATAATCGAAGATAGACAGCCACCAGCAACGACCATCGCAATTGCTTTTGGAGCAAATTCTTGCGTTGAAAATTGCAGTGCAACCAGGCGGTAGTATAACGTGCACGGCACCTGTCCACCCAAAAATCCAGCGCCCACTATTAACAGCCAGTAGAGCCTATACCACGTTGCCACTATACAAAGTCCAGCTCCGGTCATGCCCATCAGAGCACCGAAATAGAGCGGCGGCCGATACCCAAAACGAGCAATAGCCCGTGGTAAAAACACCGACCAAACAGTACCAGTGAAAAGCATAAAGCCAATGGGGATTGTTGCTAGATGCCAGTTAGCAAAACTTGTAGCTGCTAGAGTCGTTGTACTTATTTGAATAAAAAATGCACCTTCACCGAGACTCCACGACCATGCTAATAAGAGGATATTCCATAACATCTTACGAAACAGAGGATCTGCCCATCGAACGCGCAGACCGTTCAGTGACCAAAACGGTGGCAGTTTAACATCATTCGAGTTCTTTCGTTGTACGACATCGATTGGTTCACCATTTTGTGTAGTAGTATGTTCTGCCAGAGTTGAATGTAAATCAGACATGATTAAACCTATCCGAATAAGATGCTACAGAAAAGGGCAGTTCTTTTGCATATTATTTACGATAAAACTGTCTGTTATATCTATCTATAAATGTCACTTTTTTTTAATATGTCACATATATTGACTCGTATTTCCTTTCTCTACTGAGAGTACGCAATAATCAAAATTTTAGTTTTAGTTCTGACTTTCCTCTTTTTTTTGTCATTAGAATGAAGGTAACAAATAATGTTATATACTCTTCTTATCAGTTACCTTCAGTATTGAAGAAGAATACTTGAAATACATTAATGTGATTTATTATGTTCCTGCTTTGTTTGCACAGATAGTTGCACACGAGCAAAACATGAAGTCCTACGTATCTCAAAAAAAGGCTAAGTTCATATCAAAATGGAAACACCGTGACAATACAAGCTATGGATGGTGCAGCTTGCTTATGCTGCGCTTCTGGGATAAATTAATGGAGCTAATTTCTGATCAAAGCGGTTTCATGGAAGCTGGGGCGTATGTTATGTTCTTTACGTCCTTCCTTAGGCAGCACAGATGCCAACATATTCCCAAATTAAACTTCCTTTTGGCGTATTTCGCCAAAAAACACGTTTTGTAACGTTTATAAGAAAGAAATTATGAATCGGTTAGGGCTGCTCATACAGGTTCTGGAACCGGAACTGTCTAGTCTCTAGCGCATACAAGTTACAAATTCGTTTTACAGTGGCGGCAGAATTCTCCGGACATCCCTGTCCTCGTAACGAAAAAAGCTTTTGACAAGCGGCCTGCGCCAAAATAGATAGTGAAACACCTCCAGGCGTTATTTTTAGATGAAACAAAAAGTTTTGTTCGACTCCGAGTAACAAATTCTTTCACTTAACTTCCACACTTTATTTATCTTACTCAGTTTTTGATGCTCTTCTGAATGGCTTAATGAGAATTTTTTTCATCCACTCATTCTCGAGATTCTGCGGTCATACTGAAGAGTATGGCACTTTTGGCTTAAAGTCGCGTTTACACCCTAAGAAAAAAGCTTTTCAAAATAATTTTTTTACCAAAATGTAGCTTGCACTCTCTTCTTTCGATTGATGCAGTTTTCATATTTTATCGGTGCTTATACAGTGTAAAAAAAGGCTTTTATCAACTGTACGCAAAATTTTTGCCGATCGGAAAATGTTCACTTTTCGGTCTAATGGGCCTACAGAGAACAACAATGAATATTTCTAACTTTTTTTATCTACAAATATACTAGATAGAGCGGAGAATATTATATTTTTATATTATATACTGCACGTCAAAAGCTTTTTCGTTACTGAGTTATGATCAAATGAAAAAGAGGATAGGGGTGTAGGGATAATTTTTGCTGCCACTGTATATTTGAACCTAGCGATACAATGTTTGGCAACACAAATCACACATCTTAAACATTCCTATTGTGGACTAACAAATCTACTCGGTACATAACCTCTATACCCAAATTCTACGTGAACGACCCAGCAGTTCACAGCATTGCAGCAGACCCAGTGCTCTTTTTCTGCTGATAGACTAAACAATAGTCAAAACATTTTTTACCTTTCGATGGTTAGAAGAAAAGAAATGTCATACTAATGTTCCTTATCTCCTTTTGTATGAGAGCACCTGTGTCATTTCACACACTATCCGCATTCTTTTCTGTAGTAATTTCAAGGTTTAATATTCGCAGAATGTTAACTAAACTTTTTCGAAGAAGTAGACATAAATCAGACGTTGTTGGCTAACGACTGGAGTGTTTACTGAACAAAAACGTCTGTTACCCCTTCACGAAGAACAGTTCACAAAGGTTGTTCCGTCAAACTAGGTACCGGGAAAGCACCTGAAAGGTGATCGTTGGAAGATTCAAAGTCTATATATCAAAAAAGCTGAAAAAACAATTTTCACGGATGGTACGACTAACGTCTGAACTCGGGTATGCGGGACGGAGATCTTTTGTCTCGGTACCCTGCGGTTCTAGTATTCGTTGTGGCCTGGAACCAAAACCAGCATTAGCCAACATACAACTATCATGAACACTTTCTCAATACTCACACTTAAAAGAATAATCTTTCTTAACGTTGCCTATTTCCAAATGAAAAATAAATTCTCAAACAAGGGCCTCGATTTTTGATAAACTACGCCATCTTTCGATTTTTTGAATGTTTTGAAGTCAATTTACTAAGTTCGAACTATGTATTATTCTAAAGAGCATTGAAAGCTGATCAAAATGAGGTAGCAGATGATGTAAACAAACTTAAATTGAAGTTGAAAGTTTTAGACTACAAACAGTTTTCAAAAGGCTCTTCATTTTGATTTACTCCGATAGGATAAAGTAAAGAATTATTTTTTAGAGTTTGATGCTGTATGGATGTTGAGAAAACTAAAAAGTTTGATCGATGGGTACCTGTGTAATCTGTATGCAATAAAAAAAATTCTCAATAGTCTTCCAACTTTCTGAAACTCTTTTCACCGTTAGACAGAGAAGATCATTGTGCATCTGTAGATGTACTTGCGATATGGTATAGGTCTAAGAAGAAAGCAAACGGGTAAAAAAAGTAGTAAAAAAATCGATTTATCAAAAAAGCCCATGATCACTAAAAATTTGATATCTCCAACAACTGACCTTCAAAAAAGACGTAGCATGCATATAACCATTCTCATATTGTCTGCTACAAAACTTGAAATTTTGGTAGCAAACAAAACTGTGTACGAGGAGTTTTATTGTCAAAACTAGAGCAGACTTTTAAGTGACTTCAACGGCAAAACTGAATTTTTTTAACTTCTAAACGTTTTCTAATACTACTAAAATCGTTTTAGTCGACTACGTATGTTTCATGCGGCTTCAATGCCGCCGATACTATGCCGGAACCACTGAAAACCAAGGTCTCGCGTGGAATCCGTTGTGTAGAGAATACCTTTTAAGTATCTACCTATGGAAAAAAACCAAATTTATGTAAATACATGAGTAAATTGCATAACCATTGTACCGTCGATTGTCGGAGAATGTTTTGCTTATGAAAGCTGTTCGGCTCAGCAGATTTTAAATTTCTTTTTATTGTTTGTTTGTTTAGCAATGGTTATTCGCTTGAGAAAATTTTTTTGATGTCAACAATCAGTTGCGTTGAATCTGGTATTAATAAACAATCGGCCACAAACGTTATACCGTTAGGACAATTTAAATTTAACAAGGAAAATCGTAGTGAAAACTTTAGTAATCATAATAGCTCCATTTCCTTCCTTCTAGGACAAAACAACCCTAAATATCCTCATTGCACAGCCACAAATATGGCTGAATTTGGGAAATATTCGGCGTTTGACTCGGCGAAGGGTGCGCGAACATTGGATCAGCAGTATAAAGAAATCGGAAAATCTAAACCCGATTTTGGATACCAGCATGCACCTTTTTTCCACCGAAAACTACAGTAAGCTGAACAACCACTGCGTCACTCTTGACAATGTCCGTCAGTTTTGACATTGTCTTGTTCGATACTTGCTCCTACTGTTCTTATACTAAATGACTGATTTTGGACAGACAGAAAGAGTCTTTCTGTCTGTTTTAAAACTTTTTAATAGGTGTCATTAGCATATAAATCTAGTTCTAATCTCGGTAGACAGAATTTTGCAGAAGTGCTTGTAAACAGAGTTTTGTGATAAAATCAGAGTCAACATGTGATTTTATTTAAATTCAAAGTACTTATTCAAAAACCTGCCTTTCCGACTACAAGAAACGCTAAAAAGGTTTTAAAACTAGTTTAAATAAATGCGAGAAAAAAGTTCATTCTATCTCCAGATGATGCCAAAAACAGCCAAATTTAGTTTTGTTTAATTTACATCTCGGCACCCATTTGAGATGGAGAGTTTCTTTCTCACAAGTGAATGACCATTTCTACATTTTGGCAAAAAACGAAAAGTTTTAGAGATTTTTATTTAACCGGAAATCAGGATGAAACATGTATTCGACCTGCTTTTTTTTGCACAAAATGTCCACCGAGATTTTGAAAATTGTTTGGACTATAACTACGGAACTGCTTATCCGTTAGACCCGAACCCTTTACCCTTTTTTTCATCTGCTGTCCAGAATATGTGATAAAAACGGCAACTATCTACCCAAGCATGAAAAATAAATCGGGAATTGGGCAATTAATCTAGTTGCACAAAAATTAGACCCAATTCATCTAGATTCAAGCTAAATGGAACTAGTTTTAGAAAAAGGAAAAGAATTGAATTCGGGAATTCAGCTAGATTCATATATGACAGGGAGCTTAAGGCATAATTAATTGATCTATTATAGCCCGGTGTATCTAGCTTTTAAAGTCAG